GAAACCATCCGGCCCCGGAGCCTTAGAAGAAGAACCAGCTAACACCACATTATAAATTTCCATATCAGACACCGGGAAGATGAGAGGGGCAACCATATGAAGAGGGATAGTAGATCCAATTGGAAGAGGGCATGCCCCATGGGAGGGGGAAGTGGGGGTGTTGTATAATTTTTGAAAAAAATTAACCGCCGCCCTGGCAATAGTCTCAGTGGAGTGAAAATGCCCCTCCTCAGTGATAAGTTCCTTAATCCGGCAATATGATTTTCTGGATTTGATTCTAGCAAAAAGAAAACCCAAATCATCTTCTCCCCTAGTAAGCCAGTTTGCTTTAGCCCTTTGAATCACCCAGGAACTCCAGGCCTTATGAAGCCGGTCTAAAGCAGCATTAATATTGTGAAGGGATACATTAAGGTTATGGTCAAGGGGGGAGAGCTGGAGTTGAGCCAAACATTGAGATTGAGCTGCAGAAAACTCATTAATTTTATTGGATATAAAAGAGGAATTAGACCAATTTTTACTCTTGATGAGATCCTTGAGAGAGTGGAGTTTGGAGTAAAGAGCCGAAATCGGGCTGCCAGAATTCTGAGAGGCAAAGACAGTAATCAGACCATCCCAAAATTCATCCAGATTAAGCATAAAATTCTTAAATTGGAACCGAGCAAACACATTGGGAGTGGACCCCGGAAGGATCAGCAAAGGAGAGTGATCCGAGCAAGAAGGTGCAAGAACCTTATAAAAAGAGTTAGGGAAACAATCCAACCAAGTTGTATTAACCATAGCACGATCCAATTTAATATGAATGGGGTCCTCAGCCCTATGATTGTTCCACGTGAAAAACAGACCAGTGGAAGGAAGATCTAACACCCCAGCACTGAAAATCCAAGAATTCATCTCCTGCAAACGACTGTGGTGCAGAGGAAGACCGCCAGACTTCTCCTCAATGAACCGGCAACAGTTAAAATCCCCCAGGATGATCCATGGGGAAGAAATAGTGGAGGTGATTTGAAGTAAGTTTTGCCACAGAGAGGTTCTCTCAGAGGGAGAGTTAGCAGCATAAATCACAGAAATCATGACATTAGGCATAGATGTGGAAATTGCAGTCCCATGAATGAGCTGAGAAGTGGTAAGAATCGGGGAAAAGGATATATTTTTGGAGTTCCATTTTATCCAAATCCTTCCCGGGGAAGAGCATCCAAAATTATGACAGCTAGCTTCTTCATCAAAAATTCGATGCGAATTTAAGAACCAAGGATCAGACACAGAGTCCAGAGGAACCTTAGCTTCCAAAATACAGAACAGGTCAAGGTGATGCTTAACGACCATTTGTTTGCAAGCCAGAACTCTATCGGGGGAGTTAAATCCCCGGACGTTCCAGCAACCAAAAGGGCAGTGGGTCATTTGCGAGAAGAATTAGAAGACCTAGTCTTCTTAGCATTCTTTCCTTTGGGGGCATTTTGCATTTTGGGCTGTTTAGGAGGATTGTTTCCAGACTTGGATTTAGAGGTGGAATCAGGCTGGTTGGGTTGTTGGCTGGTGGGTGTGGGTGGATCTTCATCCGGCGGTTCTGCTTCATTTTCTGGTTGCAGGATAGCAAACCGGTTAGGAGAAGAAACCGGAGGGTTAGCCGGTAAGGCAGACGATCCAGGAGAAGGAGGGTATTGAGGGACGAAAGCCGAAGAAGAGGCTATGTTAGTGACAAAGGGGCAATTGTCAGAGGAGGAAACTTCCTCAGTAGGGGAGTTCAGGTTCGGGATATTAAGCAAGGGCTGCGACCCAGGAGGAGCAGAGGGAAGAAGCTGCGTCCCAGGTAGCGAAGGAGGATTTAGTGGAAGATTCGGATCAGAAACAGGGGGAGGGGGAATCTGGGGAATGGGAGGTGGGTTAATGATGTTGGTGCTAACCGGGTTGGCAGGTGTAGTAGGAGGAGGGGGTGGTTGAGGTAGAGGAGGTCTACTAACCTGAGGAGGAGGCCTGGAGGATCGAGCTCGAGAGGAACTCCTTCCGCGAGTCGGAATAACTTTGGGCTGAGGGTTAATGTGGCAAAGGGAGGAAGGGTGGACAATCGACCCACATCCAGAACAAGGTGACGGCTTCCAATCGTAAAGCACTTTCAGATTAACATCGTCCCCATCCAGTGAAATAGGGATCTCGTCAGGAAGAGTGGAAGTGTTAGAAACCAGAACACACACTCTTGCAAATGTAAGACGGGTTTTCCTTGCAGTAAGAGCGTCTACAGCCAAGGGATGTCCAACAAAACTAGCAATTTTAGAAATCCCAGCAGGATTCCAAACAACTAGAGGCAAATCAACAATTTAAATCCACAGAGGTATGGAAGAGAACTCATCTCTTTTCGGTTTGAACTTGGATGTCCACTTCTGAAGGATGAAAAGCCGGCCAAAGAAAAACCAGGGACCCCCCGACCAAGCCACCTGGTAGTCTTCAGGCGAGGAGAACTTGAAAAGAAAAAACCCGTCGTTTAGAGACAAAAGCTCCACACTTCCCTTAGGATTCCAAGCCTTTTTTACAGCATTGAGAAGACTGAGGTAAGTCGGGCGAGGTCCTATGGAGTACCCAACAAGAGAGGAGCTCCAGTCGGGAACCCCCACAGCAAGTTCAGCAGCTGAAAATGGGATCTTACTCACTGGAGGGACAAAGGAGAGGTTGAAGTTCCCAGCGACAGGATCATCCTTGGTTAAGTTGGAGGCGAAGTTTAACCCCGCAGGATTAGGGAACACCTGCAAAGGAGCGTGAGCCGCTCCTGGCAGAGGAGGGAAATTCTCATGAAAAGAGGAATCCATGGGAAAGGGAAGAGAGGGGAGGGGAGAAAACCCCTCCCCGCACGGCGGCGGGAAGAACCGAAGAAGAAGGTGGCGGGAAGGAAGGCTAGGGAGAAAACCTGGCAGATCAGATGGGAGGAAGGGATAGTCTTATATACAAGTAAGTGGACTTACAAGCGCTGCAATGTTACTGCTGCAATATCAAGTATATCCAGCATGATATATTGCATAACTACAATCTGCATGTTTCATAAAGAAAAAAATATATATTAATTATATATAATATATATATATAGTATATATATATATTTGTATATTAAACTATGCTATATTAACCGAAAGAAGCAGTGCGATTAATTAAAAAAGCATAGAAAACTTTAACGCATTTGTCTAATCCCAATGATTTGGGGTGGACTGATAGATTGTTACTCGCAGCAAATTTCTGCTAAGAGTTTTGCACGTAATGCTAAGAGCATCTCCAATGGCGTCGTTCGGTCGCTCCAGCCGAACATCAAATCTTCCGCTATTTGCTTGCGGGAGAACAGTGCAACATCAATATTGGCGTTGAACTGTTCACCAACGTGATTTTTCTATCTCAACCGGATTTGTCGAAGAAACACGCGAAAGAGGACTTCGTGGAAGGGCACAAAATGGAGTTCGATTGGAAATGAATCACGACATTTTTTATTTTACTGCATTTTGGAGTAAAAATGGGATTTTCGGTTGGAGATGCTCTAACCTTGATTGAAGTAGATAAGAGTGGCATAAACACTAAGTGTACATTCAACGCAAATATGACTGAAGAAACTTATCCTAAATCATTGTATGTGTCATCGCCTCAATGTCACTTACAGGAAGTGCATTACCAACGCTAGGATATCCGTTTCGTTGCCAAGGCGTCCATCAGTGCTTGTATGGTGCATTCTGTTTTAGTATTAGAGAAGATTTGGACCGGAATGAGGGAGCTCTTAGTGTCCTCTACCGACCGATATTCTATAGTTTTCAATGTATCGATTCCCTACTTCATTGGAGTTAGGCTGAGCGCTCCAAGTCGAGCAAGAAAGTTCTATGGGTTCCAAGTTGGCTAAAGCGAGAATGAAGAAACCATTTAAGATCCGGCTTATTACATAAATAACTGCGAGCAATGTATATGTAAATGCGAGAAAAAAAATCATAACAAAACAAAGACAACATTGGCAGTGGTTCACCTATTGGTGCCTACGTCTACTTTAGCCAAGGAGGAGAGTTTTTCATTATTCATCTAATTGTTACGTACATAATATGCGAGAGAGAAGGGTAAGAGGTAATTTATGAATGAGCAGATTTTCTTACCAAAAATCTACTTGAGGGATTTTTTTGAATCTTTAGAAGTTATTGCTTGGTGTAGTTCCTGAAAAATATGTAATCCTCAAGGAAAAAGTTATATAAGTTACATGAATGAAGAGTACAGGTCTATTTATTGGAAGGCGTATCTTTGAATTTTATAGTTTAAGCTTAGGAGCACATCCTCCTCCGTCCTCGGTCCTTCCTAGTAGTAGTAGAGGGGGCAGGCATTTAAGAACTTTCTAACTTGAGATAAATAATTTCTAACAGTTCCAATTCTAAAACCTTATACTAGGGTAATTATTTCTTTTGATTAATTTTCATATAAGATATGTATTCATAACTATTTATAACTACTATCACTACAGGAAAATAGCTCATTTCCGACAGAATTTCCGGCGGAAATAAATTCGTCAGAAATTCCGACGGATGTTCAGACGAATTTCCGGGATTAGAAAAAAATATTTTTTTCCAATTTTTTAAAATCCCGGCGTAGTGTATATTCGCCGGAATTTCGTCGGAAATATTTTCGGCGGAAAATTTTACGCCAATAGCACTTTTCCGACGCGCGTTGAACCGGCGTAAATATTTTCGTCGGAAATCCGTCGGAAATCCTAATTTCCGGCGGATTTTGACCATTTTCCGACGAAAAATGGACGTCGGAAATTGCATTTTTTCCTGTAGTGTACTTAATGTTGTATGGTCAAGTTCTCATAGAATTGCATTGCAATCTTTGCAAGAGGATTTTTTCCCTATTTTAAGTAAAAGTCTATTTTTTATTTCATGAATCAATTTTATAAATAACTAAGTTTTCTTATTTTTCTTAATGTATGCGTTTGTTATTTCAAGATCATAAGCTATTGTGAAATCAAGTATAGCTTCTTCAAGATCATAAGCTATTGTTATTTCTTTTGATTACTGAGGCCAAGCTGGTGGTTGTTGATAAGTTTTCTGGTCGATCTCGTGGATTTGGTTTTGTTACATATGATGAGAAAAGAGCTATGGAAGATGCCATTGATAAAATGAATGGAATGAGCCTTGATGGACGGTCTATAACTGTAGACAGAGCTCAGCCACAAGGTTCAAGCAGAGATCGTGATGGAGGACATGATTATGACCGTGATAGGGATCGGGATCGTGGGCGTAGCTCTGGTGGGGGTCGAGGTTCTGGCGGAGACTGTTTTAAATGTGGCAAGCCTTGTCATTTTGCCAGAGAGTGCCCTAGTGATGATAGGTATGGAGGTAGGGATGACAGATCTGGGGGAGGTGGCAGCAGTAGCCGTTATGGATCTGATCGTGGTGGAGATCGCTATAGTGGACGTAGCCGAGATAGTGGCAGTCGTGGTGGATCAGGGAGTGATCGTTATAATCGTGATCGTTCTGGTCCGTATGAACGCCCGAGTGGCGGCAGCTATCGCAGTTGATGAGGTGGTCACTTTTGTTTCAGGTGGTCAATTGCGGTGGAGCTGCCTTTGTCAAAAGCTTTATGGTGGCGTGCTGCTTGCTTGGTGACTGGCAACCATGAACATGCTTTCTTTCCTTCTAAGATTTACCGGCGTGCTCTTCTTTTGCAAGTTTGGATCTTTTACTGGATGATCTATTGTGTTTATCTGTCAGATGTTCATTTGCTGATTGCATCAACTGCTGCTTAATAGTTGCTTGACCTGAAACTGATCTTGGTACATTAGTTTACAACTGTTGATACTAAATTCGAGTTGATTGGCAATCAATCTCCTTTCTGGTTCTAAAAAAAAAAGTATAGCTTCTTCAATTGCATTTTTATTTCCTTTAACCATAACCATTACTAATCTTCTCATAGCAATTCTATTACATATATTCATTTGAATAAACTCCAATAAAAATCCTTCTTTTAATAGGTAAATATTATAGTAGTTCATTCATCTCTTCTCATAATTTTTATCTTCTAATCCAACTTGAGAAGCATAAGCACTAACCACATTCATAATTTACACACCAATCCTTATTTTAATAACAATCACCCTACCACCAACCATATTAACCTTAATGACTTTATATTTCAACTCTTGATCAACTTCTATCCAAACTAATACTACAGGAAAAACAGTAATTACCGGCGGCTTCAAAGGTTAAACCGGCGGTTTTAAGTAATACCGGCGGCTTGTCGGCGGTTAATAAACCGCCAGAAATATTGGCGTAGGAAAATATTTACCGACGGTTTGTACCGGCGGCCTAAGTTTCCGGCGGGTTACCGACGGCGCAGACCTCCGGATAATAGCCCTCTTTGTACCGACGGTTTGCCGGCGCTTACACCGCCGGTCATTGTACCGACGGCTCACCGGCGGTGCCTTTACCGACGACTGGCCGGCGGTTACGGCGGTCGGCGAGCGCCAGATAAACCGCCGACACGCGTCGATTAACCGCCGGTGGTATACCGGCTAGGGGTGTAAGCGAGTCGAGTCGAGTCGAGTATCTGCCTTATCAAGTCTGGCTCGTTTAACACTCAATTGGCTCGAACTCGAGCTCGAGCTCGAGTTCGAGCTCGATTAGTAAACTCGAGCTAGGCTCGTTTAGAAAAAGCCAAGCTCGAGCTCAACTCGAAAGCTCGAGCTTGTTTGAAAAGCTCGAGCTCGAGCTCGTTTGATTGGCTTGATTCATCAATTAAAAATATTTTTGGAAATTTTTTCTAACACTTTTTTTTTAATTATGAAAAATAACTTAACTAATTATAAAATGTCCACAACTTTAACTTTAATTTCTTTTAAAAAAATTTAATTGTAGAAGAAATCAATATATAATGAGCAATCATCTTTCTTTAAAAAAATTTATTTAAAAAAATGATCAATATCAAGTGCAATTTTTATGCAATTAAATACAATTAAAATTTGATAAATATGAAAAAGAACATTCATCTCAAAGTTAGACCAAATTCAATATCATCACATCATTACAAAAAAGTAATTAGAATTATACAATCCGTTAAGCTCGATCCTAGCACAACATTATTACATTAAAATTGTCTTGTTCTCGTTATCTGACCAAACTTTTTCTTCTTGCTCTTCATTTGAACAGTTTGCAACTTTTCATTCTCCGAAGAAATTGATTTCCTGTTTACATTAAAAAAAAAACAAGCAGACAAAGCTCATGTTAAGAATTTTTCTGGCAATTAACAAGCACACAAAGTCATGCGGAAAATCTTTCAGGATTGTTTAGAAGCAGTTTTTCTCAAGCTTATAATGCAATAATATCGAAATTAACTCTCTCCAGAGGAAACACATTATTGATATGAATTAGTGGGAGACAAAAGAAGAATATTTGTTGAACTCTGGATCTGAGAACAAGAAGCTAGAACTACTCGGTAGGGAAAGTTGAAAGTTTGAAAAATTAAAAATTACAGTTTAATTACAGTTGAAAGTTTGAAAAACACAAGAAGACTATTTCATATCAAACATTTCTCTGTAGGGAGAACAAGCAAGCTTCATATATATATATAAAGTTACTACCATTGTTGCAAATTTTAGACCGTATAAGCTAGAACTATTGCAATGCTTACCAGCTAGTGAAATTAAATCATAATAAATAAACAGCATACTGACCTTTCTTCTGGACTCCAGACATGCTTCCACTAATTAAATTTACATCTGCCAAAATAAACAAATTTTATAAATCAACTGCTTAATAATGTCTTAGTTAATTTATGCAAAAGAAAATATATTTCTGACCTCCAATTTTCTCAAGTAATCGGTAGGACAATCTCCACCTCTTCATCCTCTTCCTCCTCCTACAAAAGCAAAGATAATTGAATATTCATATGTAAGTATTTGGGTTACCAAACAAATGTCTTATATCTTGAATGTAACATCATTACCTTAACCCTTCCCTTCAAGCCATAGTGGCAGCGAACCCAATTGGAGCCACAAAGGAGAGCTTGCACAGTCTCAACCCCTAATTTTGATCGATATGTATCAACTACTCTTTCTCCAGCACTGAAAGTGGACTCCGAAGCAACTGTACTAACAGGGATGGATAAAATATCCACTGCCATTCTTGAAAGTATGCGGTATTTGGCTTGATTGTTTTTCCACCATGCTATCACATCAAACTTCTGCCCTTCACTCCAATAAGTAATTGTTTCTTACAATGCACACATTCTCCTTTTTTTTGCCCAGTAGGAAGAATAACTTCTTTGAACTCATCCCAAACTTTAGATCTTTTTTTTCTTTTATTTCTTCCTATAACATCATCAACTTCTTCAATATCATCCACTTGATTTTCATTAGTCCACTTTTCAACCTCTTCGTCAATCTCATTGTTATCATTATGTGTATTATTCTCATTCATAGGTTGACTACCAACATAAGAGTGCAGGTGGTCATCATGCCTTACAATCTCAATATTTGCAGGCTCAATATTATCCCCTTCCATACTAACTGGTGTTGACATTCTAAAAAAATGATAATAACATGAAAAATGAAAATATATTTAACATCTAAAAACTAATTCTAATTTTTTTAACTGCAAGTAAGAGAATCAAAGAAGTAATATACACCCACATGTACATCCAAAACATCCAAAACGAACAAATCAATAATATGCATGATTTAATCTTATTTTGAAACTCCTGTTGCTTGCAAAACAAACCTAATAGTGCAATAGTTAAGGAAAAAAAAAAGAAAAACTGAAAAATAATAAGAAATACCCAAATTCTTGACTAGTTTTGGGCAGTGTGATTAAGAAATAAACTAGTACAATTTAATTATCATAATATTACAGTTTATTTATACCAAAAAATTGCATGCCAGCTATTTTCAATATCAATTACGTGAGCCTATCATACAAATTAGCTTCAGACTTCCATATGCCAAGTTGCTAACATCCAAATCAAGCTTGAGAAGAAAATTAGAAACAGAAAGAGACTTACAGAAAGAAGATGAGCGAATAAAATAAGGGGGAAAATATAAAATACACCTTTCTTATTGATTCTTTACATCAGTTTTCTAACACAAAACTTAAATTTCACAATAAAACTAAAATAACTCCTGTTTCGGTGATATGAGACTTGTTGCCTCAAAAGTTATTCATTAATATGATTTTCACCATTCAATGTTATCGAATTCTTGGAAGGAAAAAAGAAAACAAGAAAAATAAGAATTCGTTGCAAGCGTCGAGAAAAGAATCTTTTTTATTTTTAGTTTAACATAAATATTAATATATATGAAATAAATATATCTTTATATATATATATATATATATATATTAATATATATACATTAATCGAGTAGCTTATCAAGCTTTCGAGTCGAGTCGGATTGAGCTCGAACTCGAGCTCGATAATTATACGAGCTCGATTGTAAGCTCGAGCTCGAGCTCGAAGCTCGATAAGCTCGGCTCGCGAGCTCGTTAACGAGTCGAGTTCAAGCCGGCTCACGAGTCGGCTCAGCTCACTTACACCCCTAATACCGGCGGTTTCCGACGGTTGTGACCGACGATAATACCGGCGGTAAAGACCGTCGGTTGTTTCAACGGAATACAGCCGTGCGCCGTCGGTAACCGCCGGTATTTACCGGCGGTTTACCAAAAAAACCGCCGGTCATTAAAACTAAACCGCTGGTTAGCCACGAGAAATCTGTAGCACCTGCAAAAAAAATTTATCAGCATCTCCTCTATTTGAGGGAGGTTCACCCTAGATTTTAAACCTACACATAAAGCAATATATAACAACAAGTTTTGAGCAACACGCCGTTATATTCAATCAACTATCACAAATATAAACATAAGCACAACCAAACTAAACATTAAATGTAAACAAAGTAAATATGTTCAATTACAAGTTCACAAGTTCAAAAATTCACAATATTGTTAACTTTTCCAACATATGATAAGTTATAACCTTCCACAATTAATATTCTTAAAATTTTCTCCTTTCATTTAGCTTTTTTCAACAACTAATATTATATTTTATCATCATAATATCCAATAATTCTCTAGTCTTCATTTTTAAAGTCACCAATGTAAAAAATAATTGCTATTGAATAACTTGAGATATATTCTTTTTTTTATTTCAAAAAAAAAAAAAAAATAACTTGAGATATGTCACTTAAAGGTGTGGCTCCTTAGCCAAACCTTACTTTTCATCATAATTGAATTAAGTTGTGCATTACTTGTATAAAATAAGTTAAGTCATAATTAAAGGGGCATTTTATTGAGCTCTTAGTGAGCTAATTATTAAACAACAAGCAAATATTTTCATGAACATAGATGAATGAGTGTGTCAACATTTAATGTTGTTTACCTATATTTTGAGCTTTAAAAATTATATTCAAAGATTGCTCAATTATTTAAATAAACAAATATAAATAAGACTTATATATGAATGAGTATCAAGATATACATCAAGTGTGCTAATTTGCTTACAATCATAATCATCTATAAAATTGCATAGCTTGGTTTACAAATAGCCTAAATTTTCAATAAAACTCATCAATTTAAAAGTGGTTATGCAAATTATTTCAATTAAGGTTTCGTTTGGGGCGGATTTCTTATGCTTATTAAAGCAATAAGAATGTCGTACCAAATAAATCCTAAATCTCCCAATGGCTTAAAAAGTTGAATAATATGATAAAATAATATCCATATATTTTTCAAATATGCACATAAAACGAAACGTTTATTCAATTTCTTTTATTAAAACATGACAAAAAATAAAGTGATTTTGCATAGAAAATGCAAGTAGTACCCAAAAAATGCAAACTATGAAATATAACTTCATTAAAATACTAATGCCCTTAGAAACCAAATAAATAATTTCAATGGCCAACTAAGGTTAAATATCATATTACATGATTTGAACATCAAAACAAAAAGAGATATCATGTTGAGTAATGTAAAAAAATCATATAAATTAAATTATGGACTTAATATAAAGTAATAAAATGTTCAATATACTTCCAAGAAAGACTACTACTTTGAAGTAAACAACACTATTTACAAGACATCTAAAAGAAGTTACTAATTATTATATTTATTTATTCCTCTCAATTAAACAACACAAATAGTTTGTTTTGGGGAATAATATAATTATATTTAAGGTTGGGCAACATATAAGTAGTAATAAACATGTAGGGTTTGGTCATGTTCAACGAAAATAGAAGATGCACAAACAATGCGTTGAAATAGACTTAATGAAGGAATATGAAAGGAAATAATAGACTTTTTTAAATTAAAAGAGAGTTTATATTTGACAACACTGGATTAAGTTTCCATATTTCAAGGGCTAAGATGATTTCTTGGCAAAACCAGATAAATTCAAAGCATTATCTTTAATATAGTACAAATTTAAGGGATCAATATACCTAAAATATATGCACAGTCGGTTATAATTTTGCTGAAAAGTTCTATACAATGCAGCCAAGGGCTTGTTTAGTTGTCGAGAGGGGAAAGGAAATAAATACTAACAATCTGGGATCTACAAAATTCATGTTTAATGAAACTGGCCGGTTGCCAAATTCAACTCCTGGTATAAGGTAGTGAAGAAATAGGCTAAAGTTGAAGTGTGCCAAAAATGAGGGAATGTAAAACATGAACTCACTCCGTTCCGAAGGGAAGCTAAACATCATGATCAAGAAGTACCATCTCACCACAAAGGGTTCTTACCCACTGACATAAAAGTAAAAAAAAAAAACACAAAATGGAGTTGCTCTGCGAATGAAAGATATTTCAGTTGAATAATATAAGTTATCAACATGATGAAAGTGATGTCAAATAAATTGACAGATAAGCTGATAAATTAACATTAATTGACTTACAAGAAGATGATGAGACTGGAAATGAGCCAGACAACGTTGATGAAGCCTGAATGATTTCTTTGTCTTGCACCGGCAAAGTGGAATTAAAAAATACTGCATGTGCACTTTGTTTGGGCAGTTTAGGTGATTTGTAACCCTTATGCAGGGGTTGATTGGTTGCAACTAAATTTGAAGAGTAACCTGGTGGGGAGCCAATTCTATAGTCAGAGTCATGTGACAATGTTCGAGACAAATTTTCACAAAAGAGACAAGGTGGGTGTAAATCATCTTGATCTATAGGAGCATAACAAGGGGAAAGAGACCCGGTATGATAAAGAGCATTCTTCAAATGGAGAAGAGTATGGTGTTGCAATAGGAGGAGAAGGAGAAGGAGATGGTGATGGATATGGAGAAGGGCTTGAAGCCTGTAAAGATGAAACTGAATTTTTAAGGTATGAAGTCAAAACTATAGACTTAACTTCACCATAAACAGAATGATTAAGACCAAGATTTTGAGCATGTGAGCCCGTAACAGCTAGTTGTTTCAATCTGTTAGGTAACAGAGTACCGCTCTCGTTATCAGACAAAATGGAAGCTTGCAGCGTAACAGGAGGCGCTATAGCAGAACCATTGACATTTGTCATCTGCACATATACAATCTGCATGCACAGTGGAAAAGAATTTAGTATTATAGTTGTAGAATATAAATATGTAAGAAAAATGATGAAATGATTGTTACCTCATCCGCCTACTTTCAGCTGATCCTTCAGTTTTTTCATATTGTCCTGGATATGATTAATGGAGTTGCTTACTGTGAAGTTGAAAAGAGCCTTCGTCCTCTCCCATATAGAAGATGTTTGAAGAGGAATGACAGTGATCCCCCCAGGAAACTTCAAAACCTCAAAACACAATGTTTCTCCAAAAATAGATGGAGTCAAAGTTAGATTAATTTGCTGGAGGACCAACTCTATCAAAGATGATCTCAACAAACTGAGCGCTGGTGGGCTTATGCATGCATTTCTTGGTTTAGGAAGAACACCAAAGACACACAAGTAGACGTTATAGAAGTGGTAGGATGCATAGAAATGATGGAGACCTGTGGAAATAACAAGCTTTAGTTGAACATATGATATAGAATAAAGTAGTTCAAGCATATTGAAGTAATACCTATGCGGTAGGAACTCCTATTTCCTCAAATATATCATATTTGAGCCTTCCAGCGTGCAAAGTTAGCAGTGAAAACGGCTTTTCCTAAATGAAACTAGTTTGTATCTCAGCTGAACAGTACCAGAGATAACATACATATTACTAAAATATTCATGCTATTGAATCGTATGATGACAGGCCCATCAAACACAAATAAATTACAAAGCATTATATTTATTGCTTTGCCTAAGCATGTTACATATCAGATAAAGTGAAAAATGCATTTTTTTTCTTGATAGCATGCATTGACATGATTTTTTGCGGCTGAAAAGTTCTCCTGATTTAATGCGTCCCAAGAGAAATGACGTCTTATGAAAATAATTTGATCCATAATTCGTTCAACTTATCTTAATTGTGGTTAAGAAAGGGTTCACATGTCCATGGGATGCCTATGACTACCGGGGAAATCTAAGCAAAATAAAGAAGATTAGCAAGCTCGTCAACAATCATTCATAGGTTTTGTCTTCAATGAGAAAATTTTCTAAAAAAAACTCCAATGGCCGACTACAATTAGATTTATTACAGCTTATTTGACGCTATAAAACATACTAGAAGCAAAGCAAACTTTAGAAAGCTATGTTCACTTTCGCATGACAACTTAGTTATGCTTGGGCAAATAAATTTGAAGAGAAGTTAAAAAATATTATTTTTAATGAAAGGTTTTGGTTAAATGTTAGTTATGAAAAAACAACAACAAAGCTATTAGTTCTAGTCTTAAAGATGCTTGAAGCAGATAAAAAGCCTGCAAAATGCTTCATTTATAATGCAAAGGATGAGACTAAGTAGTTGGTAGATCATAATTTAGGGGAGATGAGTTCAGCTATAAGCATATTTGAGAAAACATTGATGAAAAGTAGGAGCTTCAACTTCATCATTATTTGCATGCTGCAAGATATTACCTTAATCCTCAATTTCTATATGTTGAGAACAAGTTAAACAATTTTGTGATCAGATTAGGTTTATAACATTGTATGGATAAGTAGATAGCTGATTAAATTGAGAGAGTGAAAGTTGATTTATGAGTTGTAGCACTTAGAAATACAGAAGGATTCTTTAAATTATAACAAATCAAAGATACAACTAAAATAGTCTCCAAATAATTTGTAACACAATGGAGAAAAAGGATTCATGTAGCCGACCCCACGTAGTGGGATAAAGGCTTGATGTTGTTGTTGTTGTTGTTGTTGTTGGAAAACACACAGAGGGGCCTACATGTAAAAATAAAAAAGATTACAAAGTCCTAAGGAACACAAACGGCTCAGAAAGCTCCAACGAGCAACAAAAAATAAAATAACAAAAAGGCCTAATAATATCCTACCGATGCTATAGAAAAGCTTCCAAAAAAGAAAGAAAATGATAATCCAATACAACTCAATCTTTCTGCCAAAATCCAGACAACAACCTGAAATAAACTGACCTGCAAAGCAGGAAAACTACAAAACAAACAAGTGAAGAAGCAATTATAATAAAGGCACAATTGAAAAAAGTTGTAAAAATTGAAATGACTAACAATTAAGTAGCAATGTAAGTCAAAAGAAGAAAACAGTCTATTAGAGCTCATGATCAAAATTAGAGCTTAATCAAGATAATCCATATGCCACTCAATCCAACAATTAGGTGCAGCAGACATCACATGATCCAACAGCAAAGAAGAAAACTTCTCCCAATAGAAACCACAGATAGCTAACCGGGACCAGCAGGCCACAAGCAGAGAAATAGAACACCCAAGATCAAGAATAGCTAAGAAAGGTATTACTCTCATACCCCAAGAACCCAACAAATAACCCAACTTTATGAAAGCAAAACCAGCAAAACTGATAGGTAGAGGAGATGCTAAACAACCAAAAAGCTGACTGGAAAGAGATCTACGATATGACCAGACAGAAACCAAACCAGACGGGGGACCAACTGCAGCTACCAACAAGGCACCCAAAAAGTTGAAGAGCAGCACTAGGATACCTCTCCGCAGTAGAATTAGTGCAATCATAGCTCAAGAAAGTAACCATCCAGACAGCAGCATTCAACAAATAATCACAAAAAAGCCAAGTAAACATCATACTTCTGCATCGAACAATAAGCCAACAACCAAAATTTCAACCTGTTGTGTTCATCCAGCAACACAACAAATAACTCCAAATGCTCATATTAATCAACCAGAAGGCACAAGCACAAAAATAACAGCACCAGTAAACATCTAAAGGAAGGACCAAATAAGAATACCAAATGAAGAAAAGGAAATAACACATAATAGAGTCCCGAGAAAACCCATAGACAAACCAAGCAGCAGCAGCAGAAGAATAATTAAGAGGGAACCTAAGGGATACCCAACTCATCCAGCTTCAATAAACCACGAACAGGAACCGGCACAGAACAACCAATAACATCAGTAAAACTATTAAGTTGACAGCCCCAATTCGCCAACCACTCAGCACAACCACTTCCAACTTTACAAATATGATGAAATGAATAATTAAGAGATAACAAAAGCTTTTTAATATCTCTAATCATGTAAAAGAGTTCAGAACTGCAAATAGTATCCCCTTCAACTAAAAAGGAACTAGAATTGACCTCAATAATCAACTTGGTTAAGTTAAGGGAAGCACACAATTGAATGCCATAAAGAATGGCATAAATAGTAACAGCAAAAGTATCACCCAAAAAAACCGGTCCAGCAAAGGCACATAAGAGATGACCATAAGAATCTCTAATAGTCCCACCGCAGCCTCCCTGAATATCAGAGTAAAACCCCTCAACACTCAACAAAAAGTTCTTTAGGAGGCTTAACCCAAAAAATACCACAGGCATGGTTGACAGGTCTATCCCCAAAAGGAGGTAAACCTAAAGAAGAGCTAACATAATAGAAGTTCTTGAAATGCTTGTGAGTAACTTAGCAGCCATCAAAAGACAAAGCTTATCTTTCACCCTCTGGATGATAGTATCATGATTCATTTTAACTTGGTTAAAGATAGAATTATTCCTTTCCAACCAAATAAACCAAAGGATAAGACAAGGAATAATATTGTGCACGTGACCTTTAGAATTAATAAACCAGGCATTAAGCAAGGATTTAACAAAAAGTTTACTATTAAAGCAATTTAATCTAAATAAATCATCAAAGTAAATCCAAGTACGAGCAGCAGGAGGACCCGAAATAAAAACATGATGCAAACTCTCCAAATGAGAACAACATTGATATTTGGAGGCCAAACTAAATCTTTTTTTAATGATGTTATAATATGTAGGAATATATTTATGAAGTAGTCTCCAAATAAAAATAGAAATAGTAGAAGGAATGTTCCTATTCCAAATATGTTTAAAAGTATTGTCAATAGTGTACTTGTAACGAAAAGAAAGCCAAGCATCCTTTAAATGAAAAGCACCATCTCTAGAACAATCACAAAGGATAATATAATTAGAATCAGTATTAATAGGCAGATTAATAATTTTGTTGGTTATACACTCAGGAATCACATTAGAAAGCTTTTCATAATCTCAATTATTATTATTAAAGAAATAATTCACCTTAATAGAATCAGTAGAGGAAGAATTTAAAATAGAGTCAATCGAGTGCTTACCAAGCCAGCGATCCTACCAACAAGAGATATTACCTTCACCAAGCCCCGAGGAGATAAAAGGCTCAACCTCCCATTTTATTTTACAAAGCTTTTTCCACACTTTGGAATCACCTTGTTTAGCAATACAAAGAGTAGGATGTTTACCAGCACAGTATTTAGATAACATGAAATTAGCCCAAAGATTATCTTTAGAACGAAGTTTGAACCAGAGTTTAAAAGTAAAGGCCTTGGAGAGATCATAAAAGTTTTTACAACCAAGACCACCTTCAGTCATAACCCTACAACAATTCTCCCAAGAAGCCCAATGAATTTTAGAGGTAGTAGAAGTACCTTTCCAAAAGAATTTATTTATAAGTTTATGAAGATTGTCACACACTTCCTTAGTAGGAAAAATAGTTTGAAAACTGTAAACAGGTAAAGCACACAAAACACTATTAATAAGAGTAATTCTACCACCAAAACTAAGAAACATAGAGTCCCAGGATAAAAAATTGTTATAAATCGAAGCAATGAGATTATCAAATAAGAAGGATTTCCTTCTCCCCTTGAACAGAGGAACACCAAGATAATTGATGGGAAATTAAGCTTGAGTAAAACCAGTGATGTTTTGGAGAACAATAATACGCTCGTTAGAAATTCTCTTAGAAACTATAAAACAACTTTTCTTTTTTACTAAAAGTAACTCCACTAATCATTTCAAAATTAGATAAAAAAACAATAAATTTTCGAATATTGTTCTTGGACTCATTAGTAAAGATAATAAAATCATCAACAAAACAAAGACGGGATATAGGAGAACCACCCAAAGTTTTAAATTAAAGCCCAGGATTAGCAACAAACAAATTTAAAAGACCCCTTGAAAGAATTCAGCAGCTATAATGAAAATGGCAGGAGAAATAGGATCTCCTTGTCTAATACCATGAAAATTTTTGAAAAAGCGATGAGAAGAACAATTGATAATAATAGAAAAAAAAAACATTATCAATAAAATTTTTAATCAGATTGATAAAATAAGAGTCAAAACCAAACGCACCCAGAGTGAGGCAAATAAAGTTCCAATTAATATTATTATAAGCTTTAGCAATATCAAGCTTAACAATTAAATTACCTCCTCTAGCCTTAACATCCAAATCATGGCAAAATTCCTAAGCCAACAAAATATTATCCGTCATGGCCCTACCTTTCACAAAGCCCATTTGATCAGGAGAAATAATTTTAGGAATAATAGAAACAAGACGATTCATGAGAAGTTTAGAAATCAATTTGTTAAAGAAAGTGCAAAGACTAATAGGTTTAAAATCATTCCAATTATTAACAGCATTATGTTTAGGAAGAAGAACAATATAAGTAGAAGAAAAAAATTTAGGCAAATGATTCCCAACAAAAAAATCTAATACAGCAGAATAAATATCATTATTAATAATATGCCAAGTTTTTTTTTAAAAGAGAGTAGTGAAACCATCAAGACCAGCAACAGAATTACTATTCATATTAAAAATCGTCTCTTTAACTTCCTCAAAAGGAGGCCTAATAAGACCAACATTCTCCTCAGAAGAGATAAGAGAGGGAATAATATTATTTTTAGCCCTTCTTTTCACTAAAGCGTGAACGTATTTAGTATTATTATCACCTTCAACCAAATATTTAAGAGCCGCATTTTGCTTCCAAAAGATTTCTTCTTGAGCTTGGAGATTAAAGAGATCTTCCTTAGCTTTCTTTAAAATGGATAAGTTGGTATCAGTAGGATCATGTTTGTAATTAAACTCAAGAGAATTAACAAGTTGTTCAGAGTTCGAAATATTTTCAAAAATGTTTTTAAAAACATGATGATTCCACCAAGTAAGGGGTTACTTCAATCTTTTATGCTTCAACCAAAGTCTTTTCATGCCAAAAATAGAATTATCAAAAAGCAAGGGAGCTTGACAGTTATTCTTAACAACATAAAAAAAGTCATCATGAAGAAGCCACATATTATGAAATCTAAAGTGAGATATAACATTGGAAGACCTAGTCTTAGCATTAATAAGGAGAGGAGAGTGATCAGACAAAGTTCTACTCAAATGCTTAACCCTAAATAATTTGTATATATTATTTGGTTGAAATAAAGTTTTCTCCCAATATATATATATATATATATATATATATATATATATATATATATAG